GTTGCTCTTTCTTGCAGATTCTTTCTGCATTTTTGTTTGAGGAAGAAAGCTAATAACTCAAGTAATAAGAACAAACAGATCATAACAACATCAAAAGATCAAACAAACTGGAAATTACTAGCTACATGAAGCTGCAGCAAAATCAAATCTCAAGTGTTGGAACTAAACAGTATCAAATTTTGTCTCCATAAGAAGGATTCTTATCTCATTCAGACCCTAAACTGATATATAAACACAAAAAGCAAAAGGGTGAAATGGGAATTTAAAGAAATCATCAAGTTTGTTGCTAAAGTTACCTTAAAGGTTTACCTAGATGTATGCACACAAATCAAAAGGGTGAAATGGGATTGCAAGAAACATCAATTGGATCAAATCTGTGGCTAAAATTACCTTAAAGAGTTACCTATATAGAACCATGGATTAATACACACAGACACAGGAATCATCTTATATATCGAACTATAATAGATTGATACACAAATCAGAAGGGTGAAATGGGGATTTCAAGAAACATTTAATTGGAATCAAATTTGTTGATAAAGATTACCTCAAAGGGTTACCCTTGTAGAACCCAAAACTGGAGTTAACAATCAAAGCAATCCAGAATACAATGAAGAAGACAAGAAAAGGCAAGTCTCTGCATTTTCTACCATGCCTGATGACGTCATCCGTTTCAAGATTTTGATTTTGGCCATCATTGGTTGAAGAAGGAAAAGGGTATCTTCCAATCACTGCCCCTAATGAAACCCTCATTTGGATTCAAGTAAATATCAAAACCCAGAACAGAACATCTAGGGTTTATGTAGGAACTTGAAGAACAAGATGACTCTGTGTGTGTGTGTGTGTGTGTTTTTGCAGAGTGAAACCAGTGTGTGTGAGAGTAGCAAGTAGCAAGAAGATGAGTGTGAAAGCTTGGAATTTTCTATCTTAGAATATATAAAAAGAAAGACAGTAATCAACCTGCCGAACCACTTTTCAGGGCCGAAATTTAAGGGAAAAATTACACTTTGATTATGATAATGACACTCTTGAAGAATAAAATAATGCTGAATGTTTTTTTGTTTTTTTAATTCAAATAATAATAATAGTAATCAATTATCTAAAACTCAATAATATAAAATTCCATGTTGCACCAGACTTTCTGTTTTCATTTTCGTCTTTTTATGGGTTATTTCACGGTTGTTAAATGGTTTGATGTAAAATTATTAAATGGTCAGAATGATTAAAAGACTTTCATGATATAGTAAAAAATAAAATTAGGATGCTTAATGGTTAAAGAAGATTCATGATACAAAATCATTTAGAGGATTTTAAAATCATTAAGAGACAAGTTTTTTTGTCAAACAAGATTCACCTCTTAACAATTTATAAATTGTCTCTTAATAATAGAACTATTAAGAGATAAACAAACGCTCATTGGTTTAACGACACCACTTTTTAAGACAATCCATGTGATTTTGATTTTGAGAGATGAAATGATAAAGTTTGGAATTAAAAAAATGCATTGTTTAATAAATATAAATTAATTTATGTTTTGAGTTTCTGTTCGAATAGATATAAGTAGGGGTGTTCAAAAACCCGATCAATCCAACCCAACCCAATGTGAAATAATCCAACCTGAAGCAAGCCGATGTCTAATGGAGTTGTAAAATTGTCAAACTGTAGGTATTGGGTTACTATTATTTGAATCCAACTCAACCCGATAAACTCGATATCCTTTTATTTATTGAATTTAATATGATTGTTGAATTTTTATTAGTATATACATTAGACAATTACACTTATCATGTATGTTTTTCATATAAACATACTCTCAATCTATTTACATCTCTATATAACTCATTCATATATATGTTCAGTAACTGTGAACATATGTAAATTTGAGAAAATTAACTGAATGCGATATATATAAGAAATATGGATAATTTGTATCAAATTGTTGACGATGAAAAATAAATTATTAGTAGAGAAATAACATATTCAAATGTACCAAAGTATCAACCCGACCAACCCGTACGGGTTGGGTTGGGTTAGGTTGCATTTTGGTTTGGGTTAGGTTAAGATTTTTCAAACCGCAAGCATTGGGTTAAATTGTTCAAATATATTCAACTCGATCAACTCAACACATGAACACCCCTGGATATAAGTAGTCTATTAAAATGTGGGTTAGAGTATTATTTTTATGAGTTTCTTTATACTTTTTTCAATTAATTATAACTTTAATTAATTTTATTTTTTGTTTAATACTGTTAATTATAGGTATATTGATAAATGTTAAAAACTACTATTATTATTAATTTTAATTATACATTAATATTAATTATTTAGAATTATTTTTAATCATATAAATTATTTGTGTACTATTATTCAACTTGTTTAGTTATCAAAACACAAATATCAAAATAATAAAAATACTAGAAGGGTACTCGCACAATGCAACGAGATATATCTTGATTTTAATATTCATTTATTTTTTATCTCAGTCGATGTTATAGTATGGTCTTATATGATTTTGAAAAAGCGAAAATGTTTTTATTTTTGAATAAAATATAAATTTAAAAATATCATAAAAATTTGACTAAAATATATCGATATTAGTATCAAACAAACTATTTTAAAATTTTTGTTTAATTTTTTAATTCAATTTTTTTATTATAATTTAATTTAGGTTCAATAACGAAGTAATTTATATTTGGTTTATTAATATAATTTAATTATAAAGATAATAATTAATTATTTTGTTAGAACTCGATGATTATCCTAATTATATTTTAGATTTTTTATATTTTAAAATAAGATGTTTATCCTCTAATTGATTATGTTTATTTTTAGTTAGTTATACGAATTCAAAATAGAGTTTTAATAAGTTGTACTTACACACAATTTACTTAATTAATAAACAGTATTTTATGCATAAAAACGGTTTTTAAGAGTTTTTGTCAAATACTTTATAATATAGTATAGATTTATAACTTAACTATTATTTACGCAATGAATAATGTGACGTCAAATATGGCATTCATTATTTATAACATCAAATTTTATGTAAAAACTAATAGCTCGATTAAAGAGATTTGTTGTAAAATTAACGTTTGCAATAAGAATAAGCGACTCTCTTTGAAGACGATCCTACAACTGTTAATTTTTTACCAGTTTTTTAAATTCACTTTTTTGATTCTTTTTACAAATTCTTACGAATTTCTTGAAAATCCTCAATTTTTATAAATTATAATTCTATTTATAGAAGTATTTATCTAAATGGTATGTATAATGTGTATTGTATTAATAAATTTTAAGGGCAAGTTGCATAAAAGAATAACGTACTTTAACTTGATTTCTATTTTGGGTAACGTACTTTCAAAATTTCCATTTTGGTACCTAAGATGTAAAGTTTAAAACATTTAAGTAGCCGGGTAATCGGTTGAAGTATTAACAGATTATCATGTTGATGTAGCGAGTGATGTAGTATCCAACTCAGTATTATTTGTTGACGTGGTTGGTGACATAATTTTTTTTAATCTAAAATTAGTTTTCAACCAGTTACCGGGGTAATTAAATGTTTAAAACTTTACATTTTAGATATCAAAATGGAAGTTTTGAAAGTGCATTATCCAAAATAAAAATCAAGTTAAAGTACGTTATTTTTTTTAATGCAATTTACCCTATATTTAAATAGATAAAACATTCAATGAATGTAAACTACATATGTAATCAAAGTAATAACATTTTCTCGATATAAATAAACATGTATTCATATAATTTTAGTGCATTAATTTATAATAACTAGAAGAGTGTTTGCACAATGTAGCGAGATACATCTCGATTTTAGTGTTTCGTTTTTTTGTCTTAGTCGATGTTATAATATGATTTTATGAGGTTTTGAGAAAACAATAATTTTTTATTTTTGAATAAAATATAAATATGCAGATATCATAAAAAATTTAAAAAAAAAATATTGATATTAATACCATACTAACTATTTAAATTTCTCGTTGTTTTATATTTCTTTAATTCATTTTTTTGGTTTGATAATATATATTTTTATAAATATAATAATTAAGTATTTTGTTATAACTCAATGATTATCTTAATTATATTTTAGTCTTTTTATATTTTAAATGAAATATCTATCCTCTATTTGATTATGATTATCTGAAATTAGTTGCACGAATTTAAACATGAAGCTTAATAAGTTGTACTTATGCACAATTACTTGTAATCTTGAAATTTAAGTAATATTCATCAATAAACAATACTTCATGCATAAAAAATGAGTTTTAAGAGTTTTTATCAAATGTTTTATAATATAGTATAGATATAATATAAATCAAAAATAACGAAACCTTAAAAAATATGAAAAAAATTAAAGAAAGGTTTTTGTCATCGTTGCAGTTTTTGAATCGTTGAGTTGGAGCGTCCACAATGATTAGACCTTTTCATCGAGACTTTTATGAATGCTTTTTATACCATCGATAACTGGAAATGTTACGAGCATCTACAGTATTGAGATTTTCACAGTTTTTTCGTTCCATATCGTCGTCAACCCAACAACTCAAAAACCTCAATATACCGTCACATGCAAAAACATCTCTCGGGTTTTTTTAAAGCTTTTTCATACTTTATCAAAAATGTGGTCATTATATTGAAAAACCTCACCTCAAGATTATTTCACTTTTGAAAAACTTCCAATTATCTTTTTGTGACTACGGAGGTTTAAATGTGATGACTCCAGTCTCCAGACTATCCGCAAAGTAAGTGGTCGTTATGAGATTAGTCGGCTCACATAACGGGTTGGATATCCAGGTTTGACATATTAAATTCTAGACTCAAACTTTCACTATTCACAGTAATATTGATCATAATCATATTTGACATATATTTATTGATTTATCATTTAATTAACAATATTTTTAATATATATTAATTTGTTTAATTAAATAATTAAGTCTATATTTACATATTTTATGTAACTATGTTAATTTTTTGTGTATTTTAATAAATTAATTAAGGGGCCGTTTACCAAACGTTTACTCGCGTAAGTGAACACCAAGTCACATTACCTTACCGGATGAATATGGTAAGAACCAATAATCTTACCCGGTAAGAGCAAGACAAGGACCAAAAGTCTTACCCGGTAAGTGAGGGCGATGACTCTTACCACGGTAAGCGTTTACCGGGTAAATTGTAATATACGATATTGTTTTGGTGGACTAAAATCTTACTCAATAAGTAAATAATAATGTTAAATTTTACCGATAAACACTTACTGGATAAGTATTTGGTAAACTGCTTCGAAATCTTAAGTATGATGTAGACAAATGCTCTCATAAGATATATCTACCTTGCACAAAGTCTTGCTCCATATTTTTAATAGGTACAACCACTCTCCTTTGAAACTTTAAACATCATTATGTTTTTTTATTTTGAATATTTTTTTATACATCATGTTTATTGGTCAAAAAGTTAAATAAGTCAATAAAATAAACAATAAAAATAATTACATTTTTCATATAGTTTGAAAATTTATAAATCCTTTCATGTGGTTTTTATCTGGTTCTTGGTGCTTAAAATACCAACCTACCCGGTTAACCCAACTCGAAAAAATCCAAAAGAACTCAATTCAAGATAATCCGATATATAGTTGGATTGGGTTAAGATTTTTCAAACCGTAAAAATTAATGGTGACCTCACCCGTGGTGCAAAACAAATAGTGGGATGCACGCATAATGATATTTGACCCCGAGCTCTTTGCTTTCTTTGTCTTCAGCTCTTTACATCCCTAACGACTGATCATATGAGAATAGGTATTGAAATGAGAAGCGTAAGAACAAATCTGAACCATTGATTACTTTTAATCTCATCATATCCCATGAATTGTGTTTGATACTATAATTGATCATGTGTATCTCAATGCATCTCGTTACTGTTTTATATTCAATTATGATTGATCCAATGTGAAAATCTCTTCTTACTCTTCTCATCATAACGTTCATTCTCGCTAGAATCCCAACCCTTATACACCTACCCCCCAAAAAGGAGTTGGAAGCGGTGGGCGGTGTACAAAAGGGAAGGGAGTAGAGTTTGGAGGTTTAATTAAGGTTTCTTTTCTCCTTAAATGCATTGTAAACTTGTACAACAAAAAAGAAGGATAAGAGGACAAAAACACCCTCACACACTTAACATGTAGGATCACTTAACAAGACCCCTCTAAAGACCCTAAGCAGTGGCGGATCCAAAAAATTAATGGGGTGGGGACACGTTTGGATGAGGGAAGCATATGACCATATGAGACTGGGGGAAAACCATGTAAGACGAGTGTAAAAATAGAAAATTTAAGCTAGTCAACAAAGGTTTTTAGTTTTTAACTGAGGGCCTTTCCCCTTGATGCTTAAAAGCTGGATCCGTCCCTGACCCTAAGGACCATGAATCAAATCCAAAGCAAAATTGAAAACCATATAGAAGAATTTGAAAATTTTGAACCGTAAAGACGAAATCCAGAGTTTCCTCAAATTACAAGGACTAATAATGTAATTAACGCAATTAAAAATGGTTCGGTGGTAAAATTTGAATCGTCTAGAATCAAGGGTTGAAAATAAAAGTGATGATCTTGATTCCCAAGGCCAAAAAGCAGCGAATCAATCTTTTCCAATTTAGGTTTTCTTTTCCCTAAACTTGAAATTCCCTTTTCCCCAAGGCATCAAAGGTTTTCAATTTCCTTCGTGTTCTTCTTGTGGGTTTTGTAAGAAAATAGCGAAAAAATGGGTGTAAAAGATGTGAAGTCAAAGCAAGAGCTTGATGATTTTGTGAAAGAAGGTTCAGCTGTTATGATTCACTTCTGGGCTTCATGGTGTGAAGCTTCTAAGCATATGGATCAAGTCTTTTCTCATCTATCCACTGATTTCCCTCATGCCCGTTTCTTAAGGGTATGCGTTCTATCTCATCTTTCTGGTTTTTGTAACTCCTTTTCAATTGGGTATGCTTGTATTTGATCTTATTTTCATGTGGGAATGTTTGTATATGTTTATACGAACTTCCTAATCAGTACTTTTTGGGGAGTTCTTTTGCTTCCTATAAGACAATTTAGCGATTCTTTTGGTTTAACTTTTCAATTGCGTATGCTTTTTATTTGATTGTTTGCTAGTTGTTTTCAATTGGGTATGGTTATATTAGCAAAGTAACTTCATAATCAGTTCTGTTGGTATTGTTTTGTATGCTTATCGGCTTCGTAGGATGTTAATTTGATTGCTATGTGTGTGTATTTGATCTTATTTTCATGTGGGAATGTTTGTATTTGCATATGAACTTCCTAATCAGTACATTTTGGGCATTTTTTTAAATCCAAGTATCTCTGTGATTTGCAAGTGGTTTTGAATTGGTATGTTTGTATTTGCTAAGTAACTTCATGATAGTTCTGTTGGTATTGTTTCGTATGCTTTTATCCGCTTCTTAGGATGCTAATTTAATGGCTATGTGTGTATTTGATCTAATTTTCGTGTGGGAAAGTTCGTATATGTGTATATGATTAGTATTTTTTTGGGGATTTTTTTGGCTTCCTATACGACAACTTAGCAATTATTTTTGTTTTTTTTTATTAACGTGAATATCCAACCCGCCATGCGAGCCGACTAATTCCAGGGCAACCATCTGCTTTGCAGATAGCCCGGTGTCACCGTATTTGAACCTTCATGGCCACAAGGGGATTTTTATTCCTCTTGGATTTGAACCCGGGACCTCCTGGTACTTACTTTTGACCTTTGGAGCCAAACTCAAACCAATTAGGCACCACCCTTGTGGTTTTTTTTTCTTTTCAATTGGATATGCTTTTTATCTCATCAATGTGATTTTTGCTTGTTGTCTTCAAATGGCTATGTTTGTATTTGCCAAGTAACTTCATGATCGGTTCTAATGGTATTGTTTTGTGTTCTTTTATCCGCTTTGTAGGATTTTAATTTAATGGTTATATGTGTGTATTTGATCTTGTTTTCATGTAGGCATGATGTATACATGCATATGCCCCTAATCAATATAGTTTTGGGGATTTTTCGGCTTCCTAAATGACAATTTAGCAATTCTTTTGGTTTTTTTTCAATTGGGTATGCTTTTTAATTCATCCCTGTGATTTTTGCAAGTTGTTTTCAATTGGGTATGTTTATATTCGTTAGTAACTTCATGATCGGTTCTAATGGTATTGTTTTGTATTCTAACACCAGCTTCTTAGGATGTTAATTTAATGGCTCTGTGTGTGTATTTGATCTTATTTTCATGTGGGAATTTGTTTGTGTACATGAACTCCCTAATCAGCAACTTTTTTGGGATTTTTTGGCTTCATATATGACAATTTAGCAAATCTTTTGATTATTTTTTTATATGACAATGTTGCATAAGCTTCATAATCATAAAAACCCACGATTATATAACTATTGATTATTTTGTTTTCTGCTTCTAAAATTGTAGGTTGAAGCCGAAGAACAACCAGAAATTTCCGAGGCATATTCAGTTTCTGCTGTGCCTTTCTTCGCTTTCGTAAAGGTAGCCACACCATTTCCTTATTTTCTTCGCAAATTTTGAAACAAAATCATCGAAAGACCATATTTTATGTTCTAAGTTTTTTTGGAGTCTTAAACGTAAAATCTTGAATTGTTATAGGCACTTCATTAGAGGTTAGTTCTTGAAATAAACTTATCTACACCTATCTTGTCCTATAAATAAGCCACATTACAAATATATTGATAATCTTCTTCTGTAGTACCAAAATAAAGGAATCTTGTGGACCAAATCAATGCTATCGGCATTTTGCAATTTTCGAGCAAGTTGTCTTTTTTGCACATGTTCTTTTGCAAGTTGGCATCTCCACAGGAATAATCGCTGTACTCTTTGGGGTAAAGTACAGGTCTGCTTACATCTCACCCATCAGACCCCACCTTCAAGTGGGATATATTGAACTCGTTTGGTTTCCCAATAGGCAAGAAGGTGATTTGGGGATGAAACTTTTTGGGCTATTTGTCTTTTACGCACACGTTTTTTTTGCTAGTTGGGATCTTCATAGAAATAGTACAGGTCTGCTTACATCTCACCCATTAGGCCCCACCTTCAAGTGGGATATATTGAACTCGTTTGGTTTCCCAATAGGCAAAAAGGTGATTTGGGGATGAAACTTTTTGGGCTATTTGTCTTTTTCGCACACGTTTTTTTTTGCTAGTAGGGATCTTCATAGAAATGGTCGCTCTACTATTTGGGGTAAAGTACAGGTCTGCGTGCATCTCACCTGCCAGAACCCATCTTCATGTGGGATATACTGAACTTGTTTGGTTTACCAACAAGCAAAGAGGTGATTTGGGGATGAAAGTTGAGATTTGTTGGAAAGGGAAATGTTGCATTAAACTGTAACTCCTTGCTTTTATATTAGCAAATCTACCAAAATTTCGGCATGACCTATTCATAAACTCGTCATTTGCCTGATTTATAACCTGTAAATCGTATTTTCATATACACTAAACAAAATCCTAAACCAAAAGCGGGCATAAGCACCACGTACATTAACTACTACTTACAAACGTACACCAAATGTGTTGATATTAAATCTTTCGAAGACTATCTTGAACTAATCTTCGGTCCCAAAAACACCGTATCAACCAATAGTATTATCTATCAATGGTTACCTTTACCACCACATCAATAATACCATCTGATCGTGATCCCGGGATACACGTCGACAAATAAAAACAAACCAAACTTTTTTGGGGGACATACCAAAAAGGGGTCTTCACGGAAACAACTGCTCTACTCTTTTGGATGTATAACAGGTCTACATACATCCCATCCCTGACCCTACTTTTAAGTGGGATATAATGGGCCGGTTTTGTTTGTTTTGGTTTGGATGAGGGATTATAATTCGAGCGTGTATTGATTTACTAAATTTCGTGTAGTTATCAACTTTAGTCATTTTCTTTTATAGGATGGTAAGACGATTGATACATTGGAAGGCGCATATCCATCCGAGTTAGCGAACAAAGTCTCGAAAGTCGCGGGATCAATCCATGCTGGGGAACCTGCAGCACCTGCGAGCCTAGGGATGGCTGCAGGACCCTCGGTTCTTGAAGCAATTCAAGATATTGCTAAAGTCGACAACTCTTCTCGAGCCATCACTCCCTCTCCAGCTCCTGATGCACTGAAAAACCGTCTTCAAAAACTCACCAATTCGCACCCGATAATGCTGTTCATGAAAGGAACCCCTGAAGAACCGAAATGTGGTTTTAGCAAAAAAGCCGTTGAAATCTTGAAGGCGGAGAAAGTAAAGTTTGGAACTTTTGATATTCTTAGTGATAATGAGGTTCGTGAGGGATTGAAAAAGTTCTCAAACTGGCCTACGTATCCTCAACTCTACTGCAAAGGTGAGCTTCTTGGTGGGTCGGATATTATAATCGCGATGCATGAAGGTGGTGAATTGAAGCAAGCTTTTAGCGATCATGGAGTAGGAACGGCTGATGTCAGCAAGTCAAACGTGACCGAACCCGCTGGTCAAAAGGCCGGAGTTACAGATTCGACCGGCTTGAGTTCAGCCTTGACAAGCCGTCTGGAAGGTCTCATCAACTCAGCTCCGGTTATGCTCTTTATGAAGGGAACCCCAGATGAGCCTCGATGTGGTTTTAGCCGAAAGGTGATTGAATTTCGCCTTTACATATATAATTTTATTGTTTTGTTCACTATACTTGATGCTTGTTTGCACATTTATATATATGGGTTTGGGGGGAAATTGTAAAAAATGAAAAGCTGAGGAATACATGTGCATACCGTTCAGATGAATGGTTACTAGGGTGTTCCTTCGTTTATTTATTTGGGGTTTTCCCAGAACTTCCCTCTGTCCCTATATATATAATATGCACAAACCCATGCTTTTCTGGGCCTGGGCTCCGTCCTTCCAAGCCCATTTTCATTGAGGCCTGGTCCGGGCTTTGGGGTTGAAAAAGGACACGATCTGGCTTTTTTGGGCTTAAACGGGCTTTATAAGGTCTCATTTATGATTCTTCAGGTGGTCGATATTCTCCGAGAAGAGAAGGTCGATTTCAAGACTTTCAACATACTCTCCGATGAGGAAGTGCGACAAGGCCTAAAAGTCTACTCGAACTGGTCGAGTTATCCGCAACTATACATAAAGAGCGAGCTCATTGGTGGATCGGATATCGTCTTGGAGATGCAAAAAAGCGGAGAGCTCGAGAAGGTTTTGGTCGAAAAAGGTATCATTCCTCTCGAAGAACGCTTGAAAAAACTAGTCAACTCTACGCCCGTCCTGCTTTTTATGAAGGGTACCCCAGATGCCCCACAATGCGGTTTTAGCTCAAAAGTCGTAAATGCCCTCAAGGAGGAAGGTATAAAGTTCGGGTCTTTTGACATTTTGACCGACGAGGAAGTTAGACAAGGTTTGAAGACTTTCTCGAACTGGCCTACTTTCCCACAACTTTATTACAAAGGCGAGTTGATAGGAGGATGCGATATCGTTCTCGAGCTCAAAACCAATGGTGAACTTGCGTCTACGTTATCAGAGTAAAACGTGAAACAAGCGTTTGAGATTTTTGTACTGAAAGCTCGTTTTTCTAATGACCGTATCGATTTCGTTTTGATGTAGCCTTGAATCTTGATTTGGTATCTTGTGAGAACTGGTCCTAGTTTTTGGTTTGTCTCATGGAAATCTCGAGTTTGTGCAAGTAAACCATTTGGATATGTTTGGTTTGCAAATATGACTGGACAGACGAGAGTCAGGTAGGTATAAAAAAGAATTGTGGAATGTTTTAGGGTTCTTAATTTAATATGGATAGTTTAATAATTTACGAATTTTGACTGATCTGTTTGATTTGTGTTCCACCTATTTGGTTTGGTGGAACAAAAAAGTGCATTTTTGTTCCACTCAGTACTATCATGTTTACTGTTATGTTGTATTAAACATGGAACAATAAGTTTTTATTTGTTGTAACGATTTAATAAGTTTTTATTTGTTGTAACGATTTTTAAACACGTGTTTTATTCTTTTTTCAATTAATTACAACATAACTTTGTAATGGAACATCCATTAATTACAAGATTATCAGTTTACGTTTAAAATGAGTATGAAATAGGAAAAATTAAACGTTGGTTATAGTAATTAAAAAAAATATGAATACAATAAATAGAAACCAAGACGAGTTTCACCGCATTTTTACCAAACGTTAATTTTATTTTTTCGTCCTTGTGGGGCCATTTAACGATGCCTCTGTAGCAGTCGTTGGGGACGCGGGGACATGAACAAAATCCAAAGCAAAATCGAAACTACAAGGAAGATTTTGTAATTTTAATCTGTTTTTTTATTAACCTAGATATCGAACCCGCTATGCGAGCTGACTAATCCTAGGACGACCACCTGCTTTGCAGGTAGCCCGGAGTCACTGCATTTGAACCTCCATGATCACAAGGGGATTTTTGTTTCTTCTTGGATTTGAATTTGAGATCTTCAGGTACTTTTGACCTTTGGAGCCAAGCTCAAACCAATCAGTCACCGTCTTTGTGGTTATATGTTAGTTGTCTTTGTAATAAAGTCATGGGAAGGTAGACATGTTTACTAAAGTCAACCCCTTTCTAACATATCTATCCTCCAAAACGTCAGAAGACCCGAACTTTATTACCTTCCTACATGAGGGCATTTATGGCTCTTCGACTATAACAACATTCGGGGTCATCTAACAGTACCCTTCATAAATAACGCTTGAAAAACTAGTCAACACCATGCTCTTCTTGAAAGGTATGCTAGATGCACCAATATGCAATTTCAATTCAAGTGTCTTATTTGGTAAAAAAAATTATTATTATTACCTTGGATATTCAACTCGTTATGCGAGCTGACTAATCCCAAGACGACCATCTGCTTTGCAGATAGTCCGGAGTCACCGTATTTGAACCTCCGTGGCCACAAATGGATTTTTATTCCTTATTGGATTTGCACTTGAGACCTCTTGGTACTTTTAACCTTTGAAGCCAAACTCAAACCAATCAGAAACCACCCTTGTGGTTCTTATTTGGTACACATTTTTAACCCTAACCGATAGATCTTGTAACTATTCATGGTATGGATATCTGTTTATACCATAACTATACAATACAACTTACAACCACTTCAAAAATGAATCACAAACAATACTAGTAATAAGTTACATATCCCTTATAAAGTTGGCCACAAAAACATTATGTTTAAAATCCAAAAAAGTTTTGACAACTGCTACACTAAGGGGAAGGAGGATTGAGGGGTAATCTTGTCATTTAACCATCATGGAAGCAACTTTGTTCTGCTGCAAATTGCAATCCAAGAATCTTCAATGTTTCTAAAAGGGAGA